TCCACCTGCAGGCCCAGTCCCGTGAATCTTTCTGCTGTCAGGGCGCCGCAGCTGGACGGGAGTCACGTGACAGGCAGGTAGGCCGACTGGTTCCGGTGCAGGCTCAGGTGAGCAGGGCGCCGCAGGCCGCAGGTGAACGTCGCTCAGAGCCTGATTCCTGAAAGTCAGCTGTGACGCAGCAGTTTCCCGTCTGGTTCCGCCTCCTACTCCGCTCCGAGCAGCGCGGAGCCGTCCAGCGCCACCGAACACCGAGCCGCGATTCTCCGACACCGGGACACGGACTGTGATGTGTGGACCGGAGGACTGGAGCCAGGGCCCGGTGTGACGCAGCTGTCCAGGTAAGAGCCGAGCCGAGCCGAGCCGAGCGGAGCGGCGAGGTGTGGGCGGCCGACCGAAACCGATAAGACACGAACAGTCAGACCTGGAGCTCACATTCACTCAGATTCTCTTTAAAGGCGTCAAAGTTCTGGAGAAGCCTTCAGGGTGACTCAAGTTAAAGTTAAAGATAAAGTTTGAGCTGCGGGAGTCGAGCTGTCCGCTAGTGGCGCAGCTTTGTGCGTAAATCCAGCCGCGGACTGCGTGATTCCTGCTGGAGCGCCTCCAAACGGGTTCCTGGGCTCCGTGACCCGCTCCGGTTCTGGCACTGCTCACTTTTCTCTGATGTTCATCCTCAGAGCTGCTGGTTCTTGTTTCGTGTCACAGACTCACTGTAAATGGCTTCAGGTCCACATGTTCAGCTGAAGTTCGGCGGATTCAGACTCTAACTTGTCACCGCATAGTTTCGTTTTTGGGCTCAGCTGAGGGGAAACGCCTGAAACTGGAACCGAACTCATGAAACCATCCGGACTCTTACTGAGACTGTCGGGTTCTGCTTGTCCAGGAAAAATGTGCCCAACAAAGAGCCCGATCTGGATTCTTCTTCTTAATGACTGAATGTTTGAGCTGGTTTGTGGCATCTGGACCTGGATGGTTCTACAGGAAGAACCGAACCACGGAGTCAGAATGTTGAAAAAACAAACAAAATAAAAAAAACAAACAAACAAAAACACAAAGTGCTAAATGAATTGACGTAATTATTTTTTATGTTTTATTAGATCTGACTGTGACATTGATCCTTCAGTGCTGATTGGCTGCTAGTCTGCTGTGCAGCCAATCAGAGAGCGCAGAGGGCGGGTCCTAGCGCAGATTCATTTATTTGATGAGGAATCAGTCAAAACAATGATTCTGATTTTCAGAGATGTGTTGAATATTTGATCTAATAATTGGTTCTGCTCATCTGTTGATTATGAAATGAGCTGTTTTCATTTAACTTTGATGTTTTCTTGTGATTTAAAGTTGCGGCTGCTTTACATCTTTACAGTTTATTTCTTTTTTAGGAATCTGTTTGAAATGATGCAGATCTTTAGAATGGTCAGTATGTGTTCAGGTAATCAGTCAGACCGATAATCGATCAGCCGCTGCTTCTGTTTATGGGTTTGACAGGAATCCCATCAGAGCTGAACGTCTCAGAGCTCCACAGTTCAACAGCAACATGTGGTGAAAGTTCTCCTTCAGTCTGCGTGAGCTGAGCAGTCAGGAGTC